CGTGTGTGCGTGCGTGCGTGCGTGCGTGTGTGCGTGTGTGCGTGTGTGCGTGCGTGCGTGCGTGCGTGTGTGCGTCTGTTTGTGCATGTAAACGTACGCTGTGTAATGTGTCGATGATTAACAGGTGTTATAAATAACCAGAAGCCAAAAAATAGCAAGAGTTTTATATCATTTGTACAGCATGCATTGTCGTTATCCCGCAGTCTCCTCCTTATACATCTGCTCCCACTTCTGTATTGTAGGCTTATTTGTATAGCTGCAAGATTATCTAGACAAACATAATAATAATACAATACATAATAATACATAATAATAATACACAATACATAATAACATGACAAAAAAATCCGTTAAAAAAATATTGTTTTGTACGATAAAACTGTAAAAAATGTTCAGTGCAAGACTGTACTGTAGTTTTTGATAGTGCTATCTAATTGGTAATCTTTAATGAGTACAATGTTATACATATTCACCACTGGGTCGAATTTCTACATGATGCTTTATTTGGAGATTTCTTTCTAGTACAATTACAATCGCATATATGTGTAACCAAATTGCATTCGCATGTTGTGCCGATTACCTTTGCACGTATATTCTGCTATTCTTATCGAAACCTCCTATACCTTTCTCATTTCTCGTCTATGAATCTCTATCTGTGGGTTTCATATAAATGGATATCAGTGATTTTTTTGGATAGGGTGACTTGGCATATGCAGCGGCTTGCGACATCCTACATGGGAAACGAACACATCTAGAGACTAGAGTAATCAAACTTGAGATTTGGTTTACGTAACCATTTACAACTTCGTGTTACTTGGTGCCATACCAATACATCTCATGCAGTACGAAATAGTATCAATGCCTGAATGTGTGCGGGCGTAATATCACACGTGCTGTGGTGCGTGCGTGCGTGCGGGTGGGCGTGCGTGCGTGCGTGCGTTCGTGCGTGCGTTCGTGTGCACGAGTGTGCGAGCATGTACGTGGGCGCGTGTGTGTTATCCATACTTCCCGATCAGATTTTCTTTGTTGTTATTGGACGATATGCACACATTCCCATTGCGTTTACAGTTTTTACACAAATTTAACATGTGATCGAATTACCGCAGCATACTTGAGGATTTCCTTATTTCTATACATACTGTCATTCTGCAGGCTCTGTCATGTACGTGCAATAGTAATGATGGGTATACGTTGCACTGATCGCAGATTATGAGATCTCACCTACCCAACAAAAACATATCAAATAAAGAAGATGACGTTATTGGTTTACGCCCGAGCCGCGTACAAATATACGGCTGTATCAGAAATCATTCTCCTCTTACCTGCTCCCACCTGGTGACAAACTAAAACACTATTCATTTAGCATAAAAAACACATTTACCAGTTATCGAAACTGTTGTTAAGAACTTACTTACGTGAAGTGATACAAAGCTGATGATGACATAATCATGAGATTCAATAACTTTATCCATGAACTGTGTGCAATAGGTTTTAGGACGATGAAGCAATTAAGCGATTAAACAGCTAGGTACACCCCAGTGAAAAGCTTCCTATAAACAATTCTATAAATTATTTTTCCAGCACGTTATAATATATTTCACCAGAACGTTATCCCATTCTTCTCTGCATCAGTTACTAATTGTTTCTACAATTACAACCACAAATGTGAAACCAAAAGGCATTCGCACGTTGTGCTGATTACCTATGCACGTGTATTCTACTATTCTTATCAAAACCTCCTACCTTTCTAATTTCCCACATAAGAGTCTCCATCTGTGGGTTTTATATACATGGCTATCAATTACTTTTTTGGATAGGGTGACTCGGCATATGCAGCGGCTTGCAACATCCTACATGAGAATAAAAAATATCTACAGAGAACAAACTTGTTATCATAGCAAACATTTGTTGCATACGTTGGACAATGTTTGGCCAATGTAGACGCAGTGTATAAAGAATAAATATGTTCTATGATAGAACCTAAATACTGACTGAACGAGTCGTTATTGTATAAAAGCACAAAGTGTTACATGGTGTCAGAGTGGTTGGAAGATAATGGAGTCCTCTGAAGCCTCCACAACAGCTGGATTTCGAGGTAAACAATCTAACACAGCAATGGAAACTGTGGAAGGAACAGCTACAGCTATACATTGACCTAGCTATAGCAGAAAAAGATGATGCAACAAAAGTCAAGATGTTGCTGTACCTTGTTTGGAGCAAAGGTGTTGGACTACTAGAGGGCAATACAAGGTAGAAGTAGACCCTTTCATATCACCAGTAGTGCATCCACCCAGGCGTCTTCCAGTGGCCTTGAAATACAGGGCGAACGCGGAACTGGGAAAGCTGACAGAAGCAGAGATTATTGCGCCGGTCGATAGACCAACGCCGTGGGTATCAGGCCTAGTGTGCGTCGACAAGCCAAACAAACTAAGGATTTGTCTAGACCCCCAGGATTTGAACAAATCCGTGAAACGAAACAACTACCCAATGAAGACAATTGAAGATATACTTCCGGACGGTCCGGACCTGAACAAGGCAAAGGTGTTTACTGTCGTAGATGCCAAGAATGGGTTCTGGCATGTTGAACTTGAGGAAGAAACCTCCTACTTAACGACGTTCAATACATCATTAGGAAGATATCGGTGGAAAAGGATGCCATTTGGTATGACCTGAGGAATTTCAGAGGAGGCTGGACGAGACCCTTCAAGGCTTAGACGGCATCAAAATTATTGCAGATGACATACTGGTATATGGGGAAGGAGAGTCACTGAGAGATGCAGAGCTAGACCATGACCAGAAGCTGAGAGCACTGATGAACAGATGCATAGAGAAGAATGTAAAGCTCAAGTTTAAGATGAAGAAAGTTGCATTCATGGGACATGTGGCTACATCACATGGTTTCAAGCCAGACCCAGCCAAGGTACAGGCAGTGAAAGATATGCCAGCCCAACAGACGTAGCAGGAATCCAACGATTTCTGGGATTCGTGAACTACATAAGCAAATTCCTACTACACTTGAGTGAGAGTTGCGAACCTCTCTGTCAACTCACAAGGAAAGAAATGGAATGGTGTTGGTTAGATATTCATGAACAAGCAGTGAAACGCATCAAAGAGATGGTAACAGCAGAGACAGTGCTACGATTCTTTGTCGATAAGAAGGAGCTGACGCTGCAGGCGGATGCTTCCGAGAAGGGCCTGGGAGCTACCATTATGCACGATGGTCAACCAATAGCATATGCAAGCAGAGCTCTGTCAGATGCTGAGAGAAGGTATGCCCAAAGAGACAAGGAACTACGTTTGGTTTGGAAATATTCTACCAATATACGTATGGTAGGCAAGTGCACGTACAGAGTGATCACAAGCCGCTTGAAGTAATCCGTCACCAAGAACATGCATCGAGCTCCGAAGCGATTGCAACGTTTGATTCTGCAACTGCAAACATATGATGCGCACATAGGTTATATTTCCGGAAGTCAAATGTATATTTCCGACACATTGAGTCGTGCACATCGTCCGGGTAAGAGGAAAGACAAGGAAGAAAAAGAGATCGAACAGATGAACTTGCTCCGTCATCTGCCCATTGCAGAACATGCACTGATGGGAAAGGTGAAGCAAGGCACAGTACAAGATGAGATGCTACAAGAATAACGTGCAATCATCTTGAGAGGATGGCCAGAGATAACAGAAGAACTCCGCAGAGTGTCACAGCGTACTTTTACTACCAAGATGAGCTAAGCACAGCTCATGATCTAATATTCAAGGGTGAGAGAGTGGTGATTCCCAAAGCTATGAGAAGGGATATGCTGGATCGCATTCATTCATCACATCTGGGTGAAAATAGCTGTCTGAAAAGAGCGAGAGAAACCATATTCTGGCCAGGAATAAAATCAGATGTGAAAGATTACATAAGGAAATGTGATGTGTGGCTGTCAATGGCCACCAAACAGCTGAAGGAACCCATGTATCCACAGGGTGCACCCGCCAGACCTTTGGCAAAAGTAGCAGCAGATCTATTCGTGCTAGATTCCAAGAACTACCTGGTGACGGTGGACTATTTCTCAAATTTTCTTGAGATAGATCATTTGACCACGACTACTTCACCGGCTGTAATTCCCAAACTAAAAACACAGTTTGCACGATTTGGGATTCCAGATGAGTTAGTAACAGATAATGGCCCACAATTCGTCTCAGATGAGTTTCAGAGGTTTGTTTTCAAATGGGAATTCAAGCACTCCACGACATCGTCTCACTACCCGCAAGCCAACGGAAAAGCTGAGAATGCTGTGAAGATAGCTAAGGCACTCCTGACGAAGTCGAAGGAAGCGCAAACAGACCCGTATATCAGCCTTCTTGCCTTCAGAAATACGCCTACCCAAGGGTTTGACTCCAGCCCAGTCCAGAGGCTAATGAACCGCAGGACAAGGACTGCTCTCCCAATAGAATCGACCTTGCTATGTTCAAGGGTACCTACGGGTGTTGGCACTCAGATGAAGGAGGCGAAACAGAAGCAAGCCTTCTACTAGAATCGACATGCAAGGAAGCTGCCACAACTGAAGCCGGGGGATGTAGTGCGTATGCAGCCATCGCAACAACACAAGCAATGGAGGAGGGCGACAACTGTACAAAATACATCGCACCCGAGATCATACAATGTGGTAACTGAGAATGGTAGCCAGTACCGTCGAAACCGACGGTACTGCTTCGGAAGACGGCAGAAGGGCCACGTCACACCCAAACTCCACGACAGATGGCGCTCTCGCTCTGGCTCAATTCATGGCCACGTGTCCTGTATGCAGATTGGCTTTGTGGTGTTGGCTTGACCACTTCGTATCCTGAATTGTACGAAGGGGGCGCTGCATTCAGTTTGCGTCAGACCTACTACGATGATGACCGGAGGCCAGCTGTCGGTCAACCTTGCGTAGAAATTCAGCAACCGCAACCCGGAAGGGAAAATCAACCACGAGCGATGACTAGATCTGGAAGAATCATCCGCCCACCCAGATATCTAGAGGACTTTGTACAAAAGTGAGAGAAAAAAACTAGTACAAGGGAAGCGAGTAGATGTTTGAATTTAGATAGATTAATTGTTATATAGATAGTTTAGATAGATATGTTGCTTATATAGCAGCTTTGAGTTAGAATAGAAATAGTAGAATAGGTTCATTCAGAGTAAGAAATAAGAATTAATTATGAAAATTGTGACTCGTTGAAATATACGGTGTATTCGGAACTATTGGATTTTATTTAAAAGACGAAAAACTGTATAAAAAGAAGGATGTAACACGCAGCACCACCTCTTGGCATAATACAGTGATATCGGTTAAGTGAGTTTGCAGTATCTGTTATGACAGCAAATGGCTTGCAATGAGGCTGACCGGTTCGAATGTAGACGGAGTGTATGAAGAATAAATATATTCCATGATAGAACCTAAATACTGACTGAACGAGTCTTTATTATATAAAAGCACAAAGGGTTACAGTAATAGACTCTTAATAGATGAGAGGATAATCTTATCTCTTAGAAATTTGACTCTTATTGAATTTAGAATTTTAAAATACTTTTCGGCGGCATAGGCATTTTGACTGGACCAGTGGCAGCCGGTAAACACATTTAGCTGTAGTAAACTCGATATAACCTATTGATAAGCTAATCTAAGTCTTCAGGATTATGACGAGTGATAGATCTTATCTCTTAGAAATAGACTACTGGAAATAGGCTAACGTGAACATGGATTTTGCCGCAGGTTTTCTCATGGACCGCTACACTGGCGACCTGAGACCCGTCTTTATCTTTTCTGGAATCTCATGTATCGTGAGTGGAGTCTTGCAGAGTGGCGCCTTCTGCATACAGACAGAACTGTTAACTACAGAAAGAAGCACGCGTGTGAGGAACGACCGCAGTCAGGACGGAGAGAAACACTGGACACAATATTATAGTGAAACACGATGTTAATTAAGTTAATTAAAGTGTTAACTAGCGAACACTGCAGACTCAACTATGTTACGTATAGATGCACGAGGTAAAATATTACTCTGTTAAATTCTGAATTTAATTTAATATAATTTGTTACAGTGTTAATTCTGAATCCACATTATTATGCGCAGTGTGTAACTGCGATATCTGTTACTATGGGTGTAATTGTGATTAATATCAATATAGTGCGAACAAAGAGTGATAAGTTTTAGCTAATAATATCTTTAGAAAAAAGGCTGATTTTTAAATGGTGGTGTTGCATATTTTTAGTTATGCTATATTTTTTGGCAAGAGACAAGAAAAGCAGTAGTAATAGTACTAGTACTAGTACCCAATTTATCAATTATAACCTATAATAGAATTATTAATAATTAATAATATTGATAACTGATAATGAACCCAGGTTTCGGTTCCCCGGTAATGCATAATCCTAATCTGTTATGTATTCAGAACGTTTGCAATGATCGATCATGCCCACGTACGTTTGTTATGACATTCAGTAAAATTAAAGCACCAAGGTTTTCGTTTGGGGAAACTGTATACCTGCTTTCTTTACACCGAGAACACAAAAATAATGGCATCTCCTACGCAAAAAAAAGTGAATACGACGATTTTACTTGTCTTATTGATTTATTTAACAACCGTTCAACATCGTTAAGAATAACGTACATGTAGATGAATATGGCATTACAAATTAATGTACATGCAGGCAAACGTGACATTACAGATTAACGTACATACAGGTAAACACGGCATTAGAGATTAACGAACATACAGGTAAACACGGCACTATAGATTAACGGTTCTAGGACAAATACCCCCCGGACAATCACCCCCCGGACAATTACCCCCGGACAATTACCCCCGGACAATTACCCCCCGGACAATTACCCCCCAAGGTTAAAAGGTCGGCGGGGGTAATTGTCCGGGGTGATTGTCCGGGCCGTCGAATCTGGCGAGGGGCAGTTGAAATGACATGGGGGTAAGTATTACGGATTCCGTATAATGCTCAGATTTCATGTGAGTGAGACTTATTTGGTAAATGTCTAAAATTTACCTATATCCGGGGTGATTGTCGGGGGAGTCCGGGGGTATTTGTCCCTTACACCCCAGATATTAACGTACTATACAGCGCAAACAATAGGCACGATAAGAATTACACTGTAGCATATCAGGTAGGATCCTAAACATGGCGTTATAGATTAACGTACATACAGCGTATAACACGAGCATTATACGATTAACGTATATACAGTGTAAACACGGCATTATAGATTAACGTACATACGGAAACATAGCATTATAGATTAACCAACAGTAAGTATACTAAACTCATATTATACATAAAAATATGATAAATGATGGAACAATTACATTTACTGAACAAATCAAAATAGCAAGAACGACACACATTATATCTTTTTCAGCCCAACACCAAGTAGTGACTTTATATTCATTGTGAAAATAGATTGCCATCACCCAAAGTAATTAATGACATCAGCCTTAAGCCCCTGAAATAAATTTTCCTCCTGGTAATAGGAGTTTGATTACTTTCGGTCAGCATTGCTGGCACTTGGAGTCTTCGCGATGATAGGTATGATATGATATACATGATGAAATATTCTTTGAGGCAAAGAACAGTAGATAATTTATATATATAATAATATATATACAACACACCTCTGCCTCCTCCTTCTTTTTTTCGCTCATCATAACTCATTCTCCACCTACTCATCTCTCTCTCTCTCTAGTCGGCTTCGTCTCTTTCATCGTCACTCTTTCTCTCTCGTCTGTCGTGGCTGTCTTTCTCATCTCTCTCTCTCTCTCTCTCTCTCTCTCTCGATCTCCTCCCTCAGGAGTGTTCTCTCTCTCTTCATCTCTGCTCTCTCTCATCTCTCTAATCTCGTCTCTCTTCTCCGTCTACTCGCTTCTGTCTGTCTTTCTCTTCGTCCTCTCTCTCTCCTCTCTCTCTCTCTCTCTATATATATAGATATATAGTATAATATATATATATATATGTGTGTGTGTGTGTGTGTGTGTGTGTGGTGTGTGTGTGTGTGTGTGTGTGTGCGTGTGTTTGTGTGTGTGTGTGTGATGTTACAAACACATGGGTAGGCTGTAACTCCTCATTCGCCATCATGAATCATGTTCATTAAGAAACCATAATATAACCTTTAAGTTGTGTTTTGGTTCGGACGATAATGGTAATTAACACGTGATTAATATAATTAAACACAGCAGTATATAAGGATACAGTAAGCAGCACAAAAAACAAGTATAAGGACGGGATAGGAGTTACAAGCGAAGAGCGGCCTCTATAAGGTGACCTATTCTAGGAGTACCTCCAGGCAGATGCCAGATGACGAAGCGGATACCAAGAGAAAAGTCGCCTGGAGCGATTGATCCTAGGCCCCTAAAAGCGTGAATCTTGCGCGCAGCGTATCCGCGCGCAAAGGCCGGCACGCGA